TGGAATCTAGACTGGGGGCAGGGGGCTCTTTCCCGAGGCAGCACCACCCACTCTGCAACCTGGACCCCTCTGTGGGCCCCGGTGCGTGCCCCGTCTGCCATTCAGAATGACAAGTCGCCCCAGCCTGCTGCTCTGGGGCTCTGGGAGAGGCGGGAAATCAGCTGGCAGGCCAGAGGGAGGCCTGGAGGAGGCAACTGCAGAGCATCCGGGTCTCTGGGCCAGGTAACCTGGGGGCTGGGCCTTCTGGGGGTCACCAGGAGCCCAAGAAAGGATGAGGCAGCAGCAGGAGGCCCTATGCAGTGAGCGCCGGCCCCCAAGGAGGTGGGGAGCCCAGCTCTGTAACCCCAGGATGGACTCTAGGAGCCTGGGATTCTCTCCGCTGGAGGCAGGAGGGTGCTCCCACGGGCTTGCCCCAAAGGCTTACTTCACTAGGACTGTGACACCCCCTACCCCCACCCGCCCCCCTCCGCACCCCGGGGGCTGAGGTTGGGGGGTGCCAGGGTGCCCTGGTGGATCTCACAGCTCAGAGGCCTGAGTGGGGGCAGGACTGCCGTCCCAGCAGGAGGGCAGCACGGCTGGGGCCCAAGCTGGGGGTGCCTGGAGGCGCCAGGCCTGCCAGCTCGCCCGGAGCCAGGTGGGAGCACGTCCAGGGCAGGGGCAGGAGGGCCCCCCAGAGCGCCCTGAACGCCGAGGGCACCTGCGGCCTCGCTCCCCGGACGGGCTTGAGCCCTCGCGCCCCTCTGCCTGCTGTGCCCTCCGCGGGCCCTGGGCAAGGCCGCCGCCCGGCTGCCCTTTCAAGTCGGCCTCCACGGGCTCCGGGGGCTGCGGCGCGGGCGGCCCGACATCAAAGCCGCCGCCCCAGCCGGATCCGGTTGCTGAAGGGGCGGGCGAGCCGGGGGAGCCGGTTTCGGCGGCGGATTGTGCTTTCATCCCGGGCTCCGAGGGCCAGACCTCCCGAGGCCCGCGTCCCTGGCCCCGCCCGGCGAGTCCCTGCAGAGCTGCGCCTGGAAGGCAGGGCTGGGGGGACTGGCAGCGCCCCGGGCCCCCCAGGGACAGAGCCGCCCCCAGCGGCCGGTGACCCCAGGCCGGTCCCGGTGCTTCTCCGCGCCTTGGCTTGCCAGCTGCCCGCAAGGCCCGGCTGGTCTTGAGGCGAGGGCCCAGGGCTGCCTGGTGCTGGCCCCTGAGCTTTGCAGTCAGCCGGCCTCGGGCACCCGCCCCCGCCCGGCAGTCCCCCCCGCTGTGCGGCCTGGTCTCAGAGACGCAGGCCTGTGTGGCCTGAGGTCCAGGTCTTCCCATCCTGGCCTTAGTCTCGACACCCACCCTCAGGGGTGACCCGGAAACCAGCCCTTCTTGAGGTCCCTTTGCCTGTCCAGGCAGGGGCGGAGGGAAGCTGCCATCTCTCTGCCATGACCACAGCGAGAACAGCGGCCGCCTGCCCACACAAGCCTCACTGCCCCTGCGCTGGCCACTAAGGACTTCCTCCCTGGGGTGGGCAGCTCGGAGAGGGGCCTTGACTGGCCCAGCAAGTGAGACCAGAAGGTGCCCCTCGGAGAGGTTCCCACGGCCTCTCCCCTCGTCCATGCCAGCTGCCCACTTCCTGATCCCTGGTGACCCCGGTGGGGTGGGCAGGCTGGGAATGATGAAAGCAGACGCTGCATGGGCCACCAGCAGGCAGCCACCCTCGGAGGCCTATCATCCCCAATTTACAGATGGGGAAAATGAGGCACTAGTTGGTCACACAGCCAACTATGTAGCAGAGCTGGGCATTGACTAGGATTTTTGCTTCTAGAGATCTGGGATGAGAAGGCAGGCCCCCTGACCCCGGAGGGGAACCATCCCAGTCAACACAAGAAGCCCAGAGGGAGGGCCCTTGGGCCCATGAGACAGCAGAGGGGCTGAGGCCAGAAGCCAGTGGTCCCGGCCTCACAGGAAGCCTCCTGGTCAGAATTTGAACCCAGCCTGCCAGGCTTTTGAGCCCCAGAGAGGGGTCCCACCACCCCCAGAGCAAGCATCACAGTCACAGAGCCTTGAAGGGCTTCCCTATGTGGGGACTTTATCTGCCAAGAGAGGGCAGCCTCAGAGGCCACCCAGGACACCAGGTGCTCTCGGCTGGCGAGATGGGACGGGTGCCCAGGTATCCGGCAGATGCCATCCAACACAGAGATTTAAAATTCCTCCCTGGAAAATCAGATAATCAAGGAAGTCAAATACCGTGAAATGAGTGTCGTCTCTGCCAGAACCCCAGGGGAGCACCAGGACCATCACAGGGCAAGCGCAGCAGTGTGACCCTCCCCCTGGTCTCACAGGCAGGGAAACTGAGGCTCGGGACACAATAGGGAGAGTCCCGCGGAGACGATTTTGCCCACTGCCCAGCATTTCCGGATAGCCTTCTGTCTTGGTCTCTGTGCTCCTGGAACTCAAGGTTGGCCAAGAGTGGCCCCTGGACACTAGAAATGTCGCCATTGCTCACACCTGATCCAGGAGGGCTTCCCTGAGAAGGAGACATCTAAGCTGAGAGCTGCTGTTAAGCAGGAGTCAGTGAAACTGGTGGGAACAGCATTTCAGGCAGAGGGCAGGAAGCATGTGCAAAGGCCCAGGGGCACGACGGTATGGCTCAGGAGAGTACAGAAGCCACAAGCCTGCTGCAGAGTGAAGGAGGGAGGGAGAAGTCCGGAGGAGGCAGGATCTAGGCTCCGTGGAGGCCACCTCCACCAGGTCAGCGCTGAGTGGGGAGAGGGGAGTCCAGTAAAGTGGGGGTCAAGGCTGGCAACCAGAAATCCAGCCCACGATAGCCACCCTAGGGGCACCCGGGGCTTCAAACCTCAGGAGCACCCCTGTGGGGAGCAGGATGGCGGTGGGAGCAGTCTCCACTTCAGCTCTAAAGCCTGCTCTGTTAGATGCCAAAGAAAAAGGAGGGAGATCAAAAGGGAAAATTTGCAAGTTCCATCGACCCTCCATTCTGGTAAAGCACCCAGAGCTGTGGGAAGAAGTATTAGGGTCTTAGCGCCACATGAAAGCTAAGGATGGTCTCTTTCAGGTGATACAGGTGATACGTTGGGGTTTCTTAGATCAACTGATTTACTCCTCAGAATTTGAGGCACAGAGAGGTTTAGTCACTCGCCCAAGGTCACACAGCAGGTAAACGGCTAAGCCAGGATCTAAACCCAGGCGGCTGGGCCTCTCTGCACCCCGAACTAACATGAATGTGTGTGTCTCACACCCCCATGTGCGCACACAGGGGAACCTCCCGGTGGGTCTCATCTGATCCCCAGAAAGGCCTGGACCCCAGTGACCTGGCTTGGCCAGACCCCAAGCTGGAGCTTAACCTGGAGCTCTCCATTCCCCTTCCCCCCGGGCCTAGTCCACAGGTTGACTTAGGTGCCAAGCACTGTGTGCACACATGGGGGTGTGAGACACACACATTCATGTTAGTTCGGGGTGCAGAGAGGCCCAGCCGCCTGGGTTTAGATGCTGGCTTAGCCGTTTACCTGCTGTGTGACCTTGGGCGAGTGACTAAACCTCTCTGTGCCGCAAATTCTGAGGAGTAAATCAGTTGATCTAAGAAACCCCAACGTATCACCTGAAAGAGACCATCCTTAGCTTTCATCACAGGGTCCCATGACCCCCCCCAGAGTTTAGCCCCTTGACCCCAGCCACGACAGCACCCACAGTGCTGGGGTTCCATCTTGGTGCAACTTTCGAGGCGCTGTCTGTGCCTGCCCCTGCGTGGCCTGGACAGGAGGGCTGACGCTGCCTGGAGCCCTCTATCGGTGCCCAGGCTCACGGGGCCAGGGCGCCCAAGGGGACTCTTTCTAAGGATGAGAACACACTGCACCCAAACCCTCACCCAGCTCTGGGGTGGGGCCTGGGGAACAGATCTCCAGGGCAAGCTTTGAACAAACAAAACAGAATGAAAACAAGCTTCTAACCCAACTGCCGGTCTCAGCCCCGGGCACTTCAACCAGCGTGGCCAGGCCTCTCTGGCAACATGCACAGGCCACTTGTGCATCGGGGGACGCTGACCCCCACCACACCTGGCCCCACCCAGCTGGACACTGGGCCCAGACCCACCCTCCTGTGAGCTGGGACTCATGCCAACTCCATCTGCTGAAAGCGTCCTGTGACCGACTCTCCTGCTGAAGTGGGGGGCTGCCCCATTTGGCATCGGGAGGGTGTGCATGGATGGACAGTGTCCCCAGGGAATGTGAACCTGACCCTGGGAGGCAGCATGGCTTTGAGGGGCCCTAGTGAATCAGCTGTGTGACCCCAGGATGGTGTCCACACCTCTCTGAGCCTGGTAGCTCTGCCATAGGGCCAAGTTTTGGCTGCCTCCACCATAGTCCTTGCACTTAGGAGGGGGGTGGGGGGGTAGGGGGTGAAGATGATCTGGGTGCACAGTGTACCTGGGGGGATGCTGAGACCAGGTGCCTGCACAGGCACCCAGCACAACCACTCAAGCTGCGGGCGCCGCCTGTGCCATCTACACAAGTAAATGACCTTGAAACCGCTTCTGTGGCCTCCAGGTACGTTGGGAAGTGGGATGCAAAGTGCAGAAAGCGTGTGCAGTGCAGAGTGTGTGTGAAGTCGGCTCCACAAGCATGCACTTCTGGGCATGTGCACATACCACCTCCGGAGGGTGCACAGGAAAGTGGGGGACACCAGGCTGTGGGGGGCCGGCTGGGGGGAGATTCCTCCTCCCTGGTTTTTCTTCTTCTGCCCGTCCCACGCCCGCAGACGCGCTCCCTTGGGCCTGGGCTATCTGGTTACCGCAGCGATGCCGGCTCTGACGGTCCTGAGCTCCTGCGGTGCTGACCCAGCTCCCAGGGACCGGTCACAGGGACTTGGGTCTGGACCACACCCAGGCCTAGGCTGATCAGTTGCTGCCTCCCAGAAGCCCTCCTGGACCTGCCTGTCAGCCTGGCATTGCCACAGTTTAACGTCTGTATTCAGAATCAGCCACATCACTTGCAAGGACCCACAAAATGAAGATTCAGGGCCCCTTGTATAAAATTTATTAAGAATTTCAAGTTGGCAACAGTAGAGACTGAACCCCTGTGCGGGGCCCTCACATGTGCAGGGCCCTTCCGGGTGAGGGGACCATGCGGGGCCTGTCTGTACCCCCCTCACCAGGACACGGGCTCCCTGAGGCTGGAATGTTGTCTGCCTTGTCCACAGAGCCTGGTGGGCAGTAGCTGCTCAATAAATGAATTCTGTAAAGGAAGGAGAAGGAAGGAATGGAACTGGGAGACAGCAGTTTGCCAGCAATACCCGCCTGTGCCCTCCACCCCAGCCTCGTCCTCTGGGCAGGAAGGAAGCTGGGTCCACCTCCTGGGGAGCACAGCCCGGGCTCGCAGGGGGCGCCTCCCCTGCTCCCTGTCCCTGCAGGGCTGCCCCTCACAGCACTCACTCGAATTTCCTATCTGGACCTCGGCTGTGTGCCCCCGGGGAAGTCACATAACCTCTCTGTGCCCTGATTGCCTCATCTGTATCTGGGGCTGGGGACAGGTCTGCTTCACGGAGTCATGCCCTTCTCCCTGGGCGAGTGAACGAGCTCTGGGCACCGCGAACTTTAACCCAGGCACGTCCACGCTGCCTGCACCAGGGCACGTCTGTCATTCCCCACTGCACACTGAGCTCAAGAGGGCAGAGCCTAGTCCGCGTTCCTGGCCACCATACACAACCTTAGCCTGGGAGGCGGCTTTCCCCAGAGAACACACTGGGGCCCTCAGGTCCCCCAAAGGGTCCTGGCCGGTGGGTTCTGTAGGCAGAGTCTCTGGGGTTCTGCAGCCACAAGGATTGGAAAGCAGCCCAGAGCCCAGCTGGCTTCCTGGGAGCTGGGGGCATCCCTCAAGTCCCTGAGGCTGCCAAGTGCAGACAGTAAACGGGGGAAACCCTGGCAGGTGAGTGATGAAGGGTCCCCCAAAACCCCCGAAGGGAGATAGCAAACGAGTTTCTGATTATTGCTCCTCTGGTGACCCACATGGCACAGAGACCTTTCCCCATGATCCCCTCCCCCCTCCCCGCCTTTCTGGACAGTTTCTAGGGAATGTTGAGGCTTGTGGGGCTTCCTGGAGGTGGCAGCAAGTGTCTCCTGGGAGGGGGTTGATGGCCTTGGACAGGATCCCAGGAAGCTGCAGACCAAGTGCCTGAGGGCATACGTGGAGGGAAAGATTAAAGGACTCAAGAAAGCAGAAATGTGGGGGAGGAAGAGGATCTGGGGGGAGTTGATTAAGGGCACAAAGTTTGAGGGACTGGAAAGAGCCAGGCAGCTCCACAAATGTGCGAGTGCGTGTGGCCAGAGCAACACCTCCCCCGTCCGGGGCAGCATCTTCCTGGCCCCTCTCCTCCCCGGGCTGGTCCACCCCTGTTCCAGGTGTCACCGCACACCCTGCGCGGTGGGTTGGGTCCCCTTCCACGCCCCAAAACCCCAGGCCTCCCATTATAACCCCAAGCCAGCTCCTGGAACTGCCCCCTTGAGTCCATGTCTCCCACCAGAGGACAGACTCCTGAGGGCAGCCTGGACCCTCTGGGTGCGCCCGGGGCCCCATGTGGGGTCACCTAGTAGGTGCTCCGTGAAATATCGGTTCAGACAGCTGCGCACTCAGGTCCCGGAGCCCAAGCGGGCTGGCTTCTTCCACTGGCTCGCCACTCGGACCCTTGCCCAGACAGGCCTCACCCTGGAGCGGGGCCTCCCTGTGCGCCAGCCTGGAGGGCAGCTGTGAGGCTCCTGTGCTGGAGGCGCCTTCCTCCTCCCGGTCTCTGCTTGCCTGTCTCCATCCTCTCCTAGATGCCCCCTCCCCCCACCCAAAATCTCCCCTTGACCTTGCCCGCGTCCAACCCTCCGCCTCCAGGGAGGCCCATGTGCAGGAGGCTGGACTGGGGTCAGGAAGGGTCCCCCAGCCCCGGAAGAGACGGCCCCCAGCTTGAGCTCCTCCTGCTAAGAGGTGAGGTTGTTCCCTGGGGCTCCTGCCGAGCTGGAACCCAGACAGCAACACTCCATCTCTGTGACCTTGAGAGAGAGTTTAACCTCTCTGGGCCTCCCTGGTGGCGCAAGCGGTTAAGCACAGCGCTGGGAAGCTGGCCGCAGCCTCTGCAGCACGAGTTCCATCCCCGGCCAGGGAGCTACCCACACGGTGAGGCAGACCTCTCCTGTCTCCCCGCTGCTCCCCTCTGCAGTGTATTTCAGTCAGTCTGCCTGTTCTGTTCCCCACTCTGTCTCTGGTGAATCCTCTCACCCCCACACCCCTGGCCCGCACCCCAGTTGTTGTATGCATAAATAAATACATCTTTTTTTTTAAAAAAAATCTAACCTCTCTGGGCCTCAGTTTCCCCAGCAGGGAATGGCTCAACTGTATTTGGTGACAGGAGGCCCGTGGGGGCTGGTAGGACGCCTGTGGGCCTAGTCCTGGCTGTAGCCCCCTCGGACGGCCCCTGCCTCTCTGGGCCCCAGCCCTGTGGGGCTGCCAGTGGGGCTACAGAGGGGCTAGTGGACCCGCAGGAGAAGGAGCCTTGGTCTTTCTGCCTCTCCCCCTGTTCCCACTGGCCCCTGACACCCCACCCATTTGGCACTGGCTGCCCTGCCTGGGGCGGGTAGAGGTGGGTTGGGTGGGAACAAGCGCGATTGGTCAAGGCCAGAGAGCAGACGGGAACTTGAAAATCAGCCTTGCCCCCCCCCCAGAGGTTCAGGGGGTGAGGTTATGGGGGGCTGTGTGGCCCCCCCACCGGCCACGAGTGCAAATGTACTGCTGGGTCTCCTGGGGTGGGTCTGGCCAGGGGGAGGGGGGGGAGGGCCTGGGAACAGCTGGGGGGTCCCTTCTCCCAGGCAGTGCTCCCCCCCTCACCCTCCCCCTGACCACCCCTCATTCAAGTGCCGGCGGCTCTGCTGTGGGGGTGGGGAGGACACTCTGTGGACAGGAGGTGGGGGGAGGGGGCACCTGTGGACCCCAGAACACAGGGTGGAGTCTGTGGGAGACCACAAGGGGCAACCCTGCCCTGTGTGTGGGCTGCCGGGTGGGGGAGGGGGCCTTTGCAGATGGACGGTGCCCGCGGGTGTGATGCTTTGCAGTGGGGTGGCCTTTGGGATGTGTGCAGTGTGTGGAGTGTCGTGCGCGGTGAGGTGTGTGTGGCGCGTGTGGTCGTGGCGTGCGTGGGGTGGGGTGTGTGGACGTGTGTGGTCGTGGCGTGCGTGGGGTGGGGTGTGTGTGACGCGTGTGGTCGTGGCGTGCGTGGGGTGGGGTGTGTGGCGCGTGGGGCTCAGGGTGTGGTGTGCGCGTGCGGTGCGTCCTCCCACCGCGTGGGGACCGCGGTGACTGTGGGTCTGGAGCCACATGGGCAAAGTCCCCATGTTGGGGGGGCCGGGAACGGCCCCTGAGGCGGGTGGGGGTCGGGGGCTGCCGGCCAGGCCAGGGGTCCTCGGCGCACGCACGGGAGTGGGGGTGCGACCCGCAGGGCGCCCCAGCCTGAGCCTGGCAGGGGGGACCCCTGGGAAAGCCCCGCCCCATGGCCCGCCGGGAAGAGCTTGGAGACGCGCCCGGGAGTTCTTGGGGGGCGGGTGGGGGGGGCAGTGGCCGGCCAGGACTGTCCCAGGCGCCTCCGCCCGTGCGCCCCCGGGGTCCACCTTCCCGGGCCCGCTGGGCCGTTTGGGTTTAACAACAAAAAGCGAGAAGGAAGTTGGGGCGCGGGAGCCCCTCCGCCGGGCCGGCGGCGCCCCGAGGGGAACTTTTCCACCCCGCGGGGCCAAGTTTCGGGCCCGCGCGGCGGCGCCAAAGCCAGGCCGACACTGCCCCCGCGTGGGCGCGCGCGGCGCTGCAGCCGCCGGGGAAACTGAGGCCCGGGCGGAGCCGGCGGGGCCCCGCCCCCGAGGCGGCGCGGAGAGACGAGGACCCCGCAGACCCCCAGGCCCCGCAGACCGCCCCCGGAAACAGAAATACTGGGGGGTGGGGCGGCGGGGTGCGAAAGTCCAGAAAAGAGGGTGGACGGCAGGTCACCCCGGAGCTGGAAAGCCCCTCCCGCCCCATGAAAGGGGGGGTGCACGCAGCATGGCCCCCCCAGGGTTTGTCCAGTCTGTGCCGTGATCTACTTTTTTCCTGGAGCCGGGGCAGCCCTTCAAACAGGGTCTCCGCCTGCCGCAGCGGTCCTGGTCCTCAGAACCGCCCCCCGCCCCGGCCCCCCACCCCCCCCCCGCCCCCCATCCTCTGGCTTTCAGCGCGGCCTGTTCCCTCGCTGGCCAGGAGGTGGCGGCAAACGCCCGGCGGCTGGGGCTGGACCGCGGGCCGGAGCGGGTGGGCGGCCGGGGCCGCCGCTTCCAGAGAGAAGCGCGAGGCTCCGACTCCGCCCGGCGGGAGCAGCGCTGGCTGCCGGCGCCAAACCCGGGGGGCAGAGAGGGCGGGTCCCGCCGGGGCAGGGCTGTGGGCGCAGGCCAGGCTGTGCCGGCCCCTCGCGCCGCCTCCCGCGGCTTGGCACACTGACCTCGCCCGCCGCGCCCGCGGCTCGGAGAGACGCACATGCCCCCCCACCCCCCCAGATGCCTGCCCTGGGGGTCGGGTGGCCGCGCAGGCCCGGGAAGGCGGCGGGGGCCTGGCCCCGGCCCCAGTGGCCCCCCGGCCGCGGCGGAGGTCAGCAAACAGCAGCGGTGGGGGCGGGCCTGGCTTCCCCGCAGGCCTGGTTCAGGTGTGGGCCGACCGAGCTTGACAGAGGCTGTCCCTCAGATTAAGGAATGGGGGCGGGGGGGGGGGGCCGACTTTCCAGAAGGGGCGTTCACTTGCAGCAAGCCCTGGCCTCTGAGGCTGCCGTGCCCCACCCCTCAGCCTCATCCCCGCTGATTCTGCCGCTCCGGCCCGGTCCAGGCCCCCAGAGCGCAGCAGCCAGGAGTGGGAGAGGCCTGTCCAGCGAGCCCCGGCCGCAGGTCCCCCCTCCCGGGCCTTGGGTTTATTTGCGGAGCAGGGAAGACGTTTCCTCACCCCTGGCTCTTGTCCCACGGCCGACCTGGGCCTCCAGTAGTCGCTCAGCTCTGCGCCGGTGCAAAAGACAGGAGGGGCTGGAGCCCTGTGGAAGTCCCTGGCTTGGGGGCCCAGCACATCAGGATGCTGGGCAGAAAGGTATCCTAGAGCGAGAGGGGGGACCAGCTGAGGGCGCTGTGGGGTCTCAGGGCAGCAGATGGGGCTCCCTGGACCACGCAGGATCCTGTTCTGCAGCTGGAGGGCACAGGCGCTGCGGTCAGACCCGTTTTACAGATGAAGAGACTGAGATGCCGCTTGCAATATGGGGCTGAGCCCTGACCCCAGGCAGCCAGGCTGCAGAGCCCAGACCCAGCCTTCCAGGCCCTGGGGGCCTTGGAGCAAGCAGGGAGGCTGACCCCACACCTGCCCCCCACACAGCCACGGTGATTCCACAGGTGCCAGGAGCCCCCCAGCCTCTGTCTCCAGGAGCAGGGCTCTTTGCCCACCTGCCCCAGGATCTGTGGGTGTCCAGGGAAGATTTTGGTTCCTCCCACTGGCTCTGTGGAGGCCCTGGGGTGCAGGACAGGCTGCTCTCCATGGAAGTGTCTCCCTTGGTGGACAACTGGCCTCCCAGTGAAACAATTTGGGGAGGGGGAGCCTTCTTTCCGGGAGTGACTGGGGGCACTCTGATTTCTCAGCTGCTTTATCATCTGATCTCCTGGCTTTGTGGTCCCCACCAAATTAGAAAGTGGGCAAAGCCTACACTATCTCCAACCTTCCAGACCCTAAGGGGACAGGGCTGGGTCCCTCTGGAATGTGCAAGGGTCCTGGATTGAGGGGGCTTTTCTCCATAGCTAGGTTTTGGGGTTTCCTGAAACTGCACACAGTAAATATTCAATAATAGAGGCAGGCTGAGGAGTGTAGGAGGCCCTGGGGCTGCCAGATGCTGAGATGAGACGCAGCGGGCAGGAGGAAGGGGGCAGGAAGGGCTCGCCCTGCCCGAGCAAGGGCCAGCTTCTTTGGAAAGTCCTGGAAATGCCCAAATGAACCCTATCACATCCATCCCCTTCATCCAGGGGTTTGAGACAAACTTCTGCCCAGATGGCAGGGGCAGGGAGGTTTGATCTAGTAGAATTTTCTGGGCACCTGTTCACCCAGGGCCCTGAAGTCAGCCTTCATGGGTCTGAGAAGAGGTTTCTGGTGCCTTCTGGCCCTCTCCAGTGCCTGTAGGCTGTGTGTGGGGCCAGATGTGGGCTTGGGAGCCTGTGGGCCTGTGGGAACCCTTGGCGGTGAAGTTGTTCCAAGGTGGCGTGGCCGGGCAGCCACCACTGCAGCTGCTCCCTGGTGCCACCTGCCTCGAATCCCCTCTGCTAGTCCTCGGGCCCTATGCTTGGTCCTTGGTGGTCACCCTGACACTCTAAAGGGGTCAGAGGCCTCTTCTCCCAGGACCCAGGGTCACAACTTCTCCCCTTCCAGCTCCAGGCTGGAACTTTCTGGGGTCCAGGCTCCCGGCCGTCTGCTCACCCGCGCAGTAGCGGTCCCAGTAGCGGATGGCTGTGTCCCGGAGGGTCTCATCTGCGAATCGCACTCGAAAGGGGCAGTACCGCCTGTGGGACCCAGAACCTTCCCCTGAGGAGCTGTGGGAGATCACGGCCTTGAGTTTGGGGGCCTGCGTGCTGTGGAGCCTGTTGAGAGAGGGGAGAGAGGCAGGGAGGGCCGGGGCCTGAGCCGCGGCCCCCCACCCACCACCGTGGCCGCGGCTGCTGGCAACAGAGCAAGCAGGAGTCCCAACCCCGGGAACCAAGATTGTGTTCCCACGTTACAGGTGAGGAAACTGAGGCCCAGAGGTGTCTGCACCTTGCCCGTGGCCACACAGCCGACTAAAACGGGTCACACAGAGCCAAAGTTCAAATTCTGGTCCCACTGCCTTCTTATCAGGCAAATCCGCAGAGAGGATAAGAAAACCAACTCAGGGCATGTCATCCTGAGCACCAGTCTTCACTCTCCCCTCTCTCTCTCTCTCTCTCTCTCTCTCTCTCTGACATTATTTCTATGTATTCTGTGTTCTACGTCTTCTGTATACATGTATTTCTACGTATTCATTTGTCTGTCCACATACTTACCTGTTTACCTACCTACCTGTCTCTGTCATCTCTCATCTATATCCATCCATCATCTATCACCTCTATTGCCCCCACCATCACCCCTATATTGCCTGCGCCCATCTCCCCCTCCCCACTCTTAGCTTCAGAAACCTCAGTTCAGTTATCAGTGTCTTTAGTTTATAATTCTTTTGCTTTATCAGCTCATCTGTCAATCCTAACTCTATGAGCCTCAGTTTCCTCATCTATAAAGTGGGGTTCATTGCCGTGTCCACCATGCAGGGTTGTGGTGATGACGTGGACGACACAGCACCCCCCCAGGTGTGCAGGACTCAGAGTGCACCTCTCTTACTGGGATCGCCAGCCTTCATTGGGTCCCTTCCCAGCCACATGACCTTGGGGACTGTCCTCTAGTCTCCATTTTGCAGTTTTGCTCAATAAATTCTGTATTCTGTGTTACAGGCACCATCCCAGCATCCTTATAAGAATTTGGTGAGGTATCTAGGACAGGGCCTGGCATGGGGCCTGTGCTCATAAGAGATCTGTTATGGTTACATTATTGTTTTGAACTTCAGCCTCCAGGGCAAAGCTGCAGGAGGGCCTGCTTGATCTACTCAGAAGTGCCTGTTCGTCCTTAAAGACATGCATGTTGCGAAGTCTGCAGCCACTTATCTGACCACATCTTTATGTGTGTCTGTGTCCTGCCACTCCTTCCTCCCACTCCAGAGCCAAGCGGCCAGGAAGGATCTGGGGCAATACTGGCTACAAGCACTGGGACTGTTACCTAGCCACTGTCTGCTCCTCAACACCCACCTCTGCCCTACGTCTGGAGTCTCAGCTGCCCTTCTCAAGGGTCGAGGAAGCCTGTTTGCGTGCACCCCGCTGCCCCCCACAGAGCCTGCCCAAGAGTCCTGCACACCACTGGTGCCTGAGTATTGGCTCTTGGATAGGAGTCACTGAATGAGCCCACTTTGCTGTTGCTTACCTTTGCGATCCCGAGCACCACACTTATGCTATATCTTGGAGAAGTAGGGTGTTCATTTGGACCGGCTGATGAAAAGTTCCTAGGTTGGCGAATGTTTTGATTTCTGGGGCCTGTTCTGACTCCTCAGTGATGTCTGCCTGAAACTCTGTGTCAGGAATGGTTCAGAACGGGGGCAAGTGCTGTGATAGCTTAGTACCGTCTGCCACGGTCCCAGGATGAGAAGGATTGGTACCCATGTCAGGTATTTACTCTCTGGATCTTTAAACCCACGGGCACTGCTCCTCACCCTTCACCTCTGTTTAAGCCTGTCCAAGCTGGGGAGATTTTTTCTGCATTCTTTCCCCTCTATCAGAGCTGTGACCCAAGTAAACGCTTCTCCTACCTCCATTTCTTATTTTATTCCCCCCAAATATTTGACATATAGTGTAAATGTTAGAGGTGAACGGTGAGATGGGTGAAGGCGGGAGACACCGAGTGGGTGGGTGCATGAATGAAAAGGTGTGAACAGAAGGACTGAATCTTAGGGGGCTGGGTAAGTGTGTGTTCAGATGCATGATTACGCAGATGGGTTCGTAGACTTGTGGAGAGCACCAGGACCCGATTCGGGACGGAGAGCATGCTGGCTTTACAGGTGCATGGAAGGCTGTGTAGACGACTGATCTTTTGATTCATGGGTGAACGGACAGAATCGTGGGAGGTTGTGGCTGGAAGGGTGGCGGATGGAGACCTGGCCCCGGGATGAGATGTGTGCAGAGACAGGTGGATGGACGAGAGAATGAATGTTCGTGGATTCGTGGATGAACAATGAATGTGAGCGGCTGGATGGCTGCATAGGTGTTGACAGATGGTTCTTGACCGGGTTGGCAGACCTGATTCATGGAGAGATCTGCGCAGGGATGGCGTGGATGGACCTGGGGCTGCATCATGAACGCTTGAATGCTTGGGTGGTAGCCTGGCCCACCCGTGGACACGTGGATGCACAGGAGAGGCAAACATTCATGGGCGAGTGCAGGGGAAGGAAGGAAAGAGGGTGCTTTCTCCGCACCCTCTGCGCCCCCCGCCCCCACTCACTGGCTGCACTCCTTGACGGTGCTGCACGGTGGCTGGGCGCCCCTCAGGGGACCCAGGGCTGTCATCTGATGGAGCAGAGCCTTCTGCAGGTCCCTCTGGAGGTGGGATGATGGGCCCCTTGAAGACAAACAGGCCCCGCTGGAAGGCGCGCCGGCCCCCCCCAGGCCGCCCCGCCCCCGCCGGCGCGGCACTTACAGCAGGTCCGCGTGCTGGGAGCGGCTGCGGCTCCGCGGCGCGGGCGGGAGGGGCTCGCGCGCTTCCCGGGGGTGCTGCGAGGCCGAGGCTGCCGGGCGGGCGGGGACAGGGGGGAGTCGCGGCTGGGGTCGGTCCTCGCCGGGTCTCACGGGGGGGCAGCCTTGGGCTCGGCTCCCGCACCCACGCGCCAGTGACACCCCCCGCCCCACGCGCGGTGCTTCCAGGGCCCCCGGCGGCCAACCCGGGCCCCGGGGCGCCGCCCGGCGCGTGGGGTCCCCCGGGGAAGGACCGAGCCCCGCCCCCCACCCCGCCCCGAATGGGACCCACTGGGTGTCGGCGGCGGCTCCTCGCTCAGCGCCCGGAGCTGGCGCAGGAACTGGCGGAACCTGCCGGGGAGCAGCTCTCCCAGGAGGGCGCCCAGGAAGTCGGGGCCCTCCGGGGCCGGGTCCCAGCGCGGGTCCTCGCGCGGCCCAGGCCCGCGGCGCGCGGGGTCGGGGTCCGGGGGCGCGCGGGCCGCGGGCAGGGGCGGCAGCTGCACCGACGGGGGCGCGCGCCTGTCGTGCGCCGCGCGCGGGGCCTGGGCGGGCAGGGCGGGCAGGCGCGGCGGGGGCTCCTGCCGCCCCCCCGGAGCTCGGGGCGCGACCACTCGCTCCCGGAGTCCGGCCACCACCCGGAGCCGCCCACCGACATCCTGGAGCCCCGCGAGCTCTGGGCGCGGGGGGCTGCCCGGAGCTCCGAGGGCGTCAGCCTGGGCAGCAGCGGGGCTCTCCAGCGGCGACCGCCGTCGCCTGGAAACCCCTGGGGCGCCGCCTGCTGGGCCCCGGCCTTGGGGTGACGCCGGGGCATGTCTGGCCCGCGCTGGGCTCAGGGCATCCTCGGCAGGCGCGGGTGCGGGGCGCCGGGCGAGGAGAGGCGGCCGCAGACCCGCCCCCAGGCCATAGTCCCCCGAGCCGGGGGTGTGTTTTGGGGTGACAGCGCCGGCCGGCCGGAGTGGGCGGCTTGAGACCTCGGCTCCCGGGCCTCTGTTTCCTCACCTGCAAGGCGTGACGGCGAGAGTCCCCACCTGTTTGAGTTGCTGTGACGTCTGCGTGAGCGAGAGGTGGCGGCCGGCCGAGCTCCCCCGAGCCCAGCTGCTCTTCTTGTTTTCAAAAGGATTTAGTCCCGGCCAACTAACTGACCTCTTCCAGGCCTCCGGCTGCCCTCAGGGGTAGCACGGGGATGATGTGGCCCCAAGTAGCCTCTGCCGCAGGGAGTGCTGGGGGGGGGGTGTCGAGGGCCTGTTACCCTTATTGGCGCTAGGCTGAGAATGGAGACACACCAACCGGCTTGGAGCACACCCCCGCCCCGTCCTTGCCCAAGCCTGTCCGCGCCCGAGCCCCTCGCGTGGGGAGCTTGTTGAAAACACAGGTGCCCCAGATTCTGATTCATTAGATCTCGCCTGGCCAGGACAACACCTTGTTTTGCTTTTTGTTTCTTTAACAAACTCCGGCTTTGGGACACAGGGCCCCAGTTCTATCTCTAGCTTCTCTTCTGACTCTGGGGCTTCCAGGTAGACTCTGGTGGGGCTTCTGAGTGGGGTCAGAAAAGTTCCCAAGAGGTTAGAGACCCCTAACAGGTGAACTGGAGCCTGGGGCAGCCCATCTTTCCTGCCTCGTCTCACTGCTGCCCCTCCCCCACCCCTCCAACCTCCCGGCCAGGGGCCTCTGCAGGTCATTGTGATACCTCCTCACTGAAGGCCAAATGGGCATCCGGAGGAGGGGGTGTAGGGGGCAGCCTACAGGGCTGGGAGGCCCAGGTGGGCCACATTTGACCTGGGTGGCTCTGGAGGAGGACTTCCAGAAGGCTGGACAGAGAATGCAATTGGTCTGGAAACCAAGAGCCGGCTTCAAGGCTGTGCTCTGCTTCTGGTTGCTGCGTCAGGCTAGCCAGCCCCTCCTTTCTCAGAGTTCAAAGTTTAAAATGGACTCTGCAGGGAGGGCTGAAGGGGTGGAGTGAAGAAGCTGGTATTGTGTAACTGGAGTGGGAGACAAGAGTAGTTGGGACCAGTCATGTCTCCGGCATGGTAGACTTTCACATCTCAACCAGGAATGGAAGGGCAGATGTCCTTGGGAAGTTAGACAACTGGGTAGGTGAAGAATGTGAGTTTTTAAAAAATGGATGAGGAACAGCACATTAGCTCCATTTCTGAGAAGCTCTTTGGCCCTGGCAGTCCCCCCACATTCACTGGGCAACAATCACAATTCAGAGATGCAAGAGGCCTCTAGATAAGGGGCAGGCCAGACCTGGACAGGTCCCAGAGCCGGGGTGTGAGGAACCGGCTTTCTCCTCTATGATAGTGTAACAGGGTGGTCCCCAGGAAAGGGGGAGGTTCCAGGTTCCCTGCCCCACCCAAGGAAGGGTGTGGCTGAGCAGGAAGAGGAGAAGCTGCAGAAGAGGAGGAAGGAGCAGGATGGAGCCAGAAGGAGACCTGGAGGAGGCGCATGGAGCCTAGAGACACGTGAAGAAACTGCGCTTGTCTTTTGGTCGTGGACTGGGTGACACAGATGTGGGTGAGACCCGTGGAGAGATGACAATGGCAGCTTTTATCTTGATGTTGATTTTGCTCTTTTCCTTCCGGGCTTGTCTGGTTGTTTGTGACCCTTTTCTGTGGGTCCCCACTGGAAGATGCTTTAGACTTGGGGCAGGCTTTGGGGCCTTGTTCTGGGCCGATCCCATATGGATGGAGTTTTACCCACGAGGGGACGGGTAACTTTGGGTGCTTCATTTAGAAACTAGACTCTTTGCCTTACCTGTATTGTTTCCTAGTTTTATTAAAGTTCCTTCCCATTAAAGTCTCCTATGTTTTGTGTTGATGCGGCGGATGGCAGAACCCATTTAGAATAGGCAGGTTTGCGGGGGTTTGGGCTGCCCCTCTCCTTGTCCTATAACACTGTAACAATAGGAATAAAATGCAGGGGTGGATTTTATTTTTAAGTACCCCTAAAAGAGCTGGAGTCAGAGCTGCCCCTCAAAGGAGATAACAGACACCCCCAGCCATTGAGCTTGCCCAGGTTCTATCCCATTCTCTTCAAGACATGGAGCATAGGTGGAGTTTGGGAGAGGGTCCTGGGGGTGGGGGAGACATGCCTGGCCTGGAGTACTCTAAGAGACCAAATAATAGGTACGGAAACAGATTTGGGGCTTGTCAGCACCCCGCCCTTTCTGTAGTTTTTGTTAGGGGGAAGTGATGTCCTGAGTTAATCCCATACAGGCTTTGTGGACCCCACCCCCACTCCAGACTAAAGCCATCAAGACTCTGGGAAAGACAAATCCCATCACCACCAAGGGAGGGTGGCTGGGACCTGAGGGTGGAGTTGGGCAGCCAGGTTGGATATAAAAAACCAAACACGTGGGCCTTGGGCTCTCTCTCTGGCTGGCGATCGCTCGCCTCCTGGCTTCACTGCTCCTGGCTGGCGGCCAACTCTGAGAGCGCCATTTTGGGATTCCTGATCGGCGGATCGGGTAGGACTCATTTAAAACTTTGTCTCCCACTTTTCTCCCAGAGCTGTACATTTCCTCATTTCCCCTTCCCTTTGTAAATAAACCTTTTATGAACCTTTCACGTGTGCCTGCAGTAGAGCATGGATAAGTCCTTTTAAGCGCGCGGGTGAGGACCCACAGTCAGGCACCCCGTTTTGTATCGGGGTTGCTCTACAACAGTTTGGCGCCCAGCGTGGTTTCCAAGTTACACCCGCGGTTGACCAGCCCAAAGTAACATTCCTTGCGTTGGTCACCATAAGCGCACTAGTTCTGCAGGACTAGCAGTATAATATTTGTCTCTAGTCCTGAAAAGTCTGTTTTTTCCCTGTGCGTACAGCCCTTGTGGGTGCGTTTTGACTCAAATATGGCCTCAACCATGAGCCTATACAGTTTCATCCCTAGCCTGAGTTCTTTCAGTTTCCTTCCGGCCTTGAATCTGAGTAGCCTTCTTCCATTAAATATCACCACCAGTTTCATGAATATAAATAATTTGATGAAGCCTGGTGTATGGCACGTGATTTTACTATTGTATACATACATGGGTGGTTTACAAGCCATCCCTTTACAGTCTGTGTTTCTGGGTGGTTTTTTGGTAATATGTGTAAGCGCAATTTGCTACATTCTTGTTTCTGTGAGAGGTAGATGTTCTACTTCACATACTGAGAATGTGCAACAACACATTCAGGCTCTTAACATAGCCATGCAACAACAAATTCAGGCTTTTAACGTGGCCATACAACAACAAAATCAGGCTTTTGATTTAACGATTAAGAGTATAAGGGATGAAAATCGTAACGTTTTTGAGTCAGCTTATCAAAGCATGCTGTATCAAGTGCAACAACAAAGTCGGACTTTTGAGTCAGCTTTTAAAGGTATGCAGGACATCACTTCCCCCTAACAATTGGGGAAGTGATGTCCTGAGTTAATCCCATACAGGCTTTGTGGACCCCACCCCCACTCCAGACTAAAGCCATCAAGACTCTGGGAAAGACAAATCCCATCACCACCAAGGGAGGGTGGCTGGGACCTGAGGGTGGAGTTGGGCAGCCAGGTTGGATATAAAAAACCAAACACGTGAGCCTTGGGCTCTCTCTGGCTCACGATCGCTTGCCTCCTGGCTTCACCGCTCCTGGCTGGCGGCCAACTCTGAGAGCGCCATTTTGGGATTCCTGATTGGCGGATCGGGATAGGACTCATTTAAAACTTTGTCTCCCACTTTTCTCCCAGAGCTGTACATTTCCTCATTTCCCCTTCCCTTGTAAATAAACCTTTTATGAACCTTTCACGTGTGCCTGCAGTAGAGCATTGATAAGTCCTTTTAAGCGCGCGGGTGAGGACCCACAGTCAGGCACCCCGTTTTGTATCGGGGTTGCTCTACAACATTTTCACCTTGAAACACAGTTTAAACACCTCCTGTGGCCAACACCCAGTGGAAGGTCCTGAAAAATCTAAGACCAGGACCCCACCCAGTCCTTGCCCAAGCCGGTTGGCGCTTGAGCCCCTCGGGTGGGGAGCTTGTTGAAAACACAGATGCCCCAGAGGAAGGGGCAGGATGGAGGAAGGATGAACTGAGATGAATGTTGTCAACACTGGGGCTTCCTTTGTGCGGGAGCCTGCTACCTGCTGCAAACACCCAGTGGAAGGCTTGACTTGCGGTAGCCACGTGTTTAGCCCTCAGAGCGTGGGAAGGTGGGTGGTTGTCACGTCTGTCTGGCGGATGAGGGAACTGAGGCTGGGAAGGGCTCACTAGGTCTGGCTACCTGCAAACCTACCTCGCGCGGCTTTGGGGACAACTCCCGAATTTCATGATAGGGAAGGGGCCTAGGATAGGACAACCTTTTGGAATGGAAACTTCATGGACTTGTGCCTATTTGGGGTGGCACTCCCTTGGCACTGCCAAGCGTATTGTTTTTTCTTTCATTTGTTGATGGGTGCGTTATTTCAATATGCTAATTGTTATGGGGAGGAATAGGGGGCTTCCCCGCCCCACTTTTAATCCAGTTCCCACCCACAGAACATTTATTTTGAGGAGCCCGGCCAGGCAGCCCCCAGGGAACAGGTGCACGCGCTGGACGCGGGCACAAGGTCCGGCGCTGCAGCCCTTTAAATCCCGGAGGGCCCAGAGTCTAGCCGGGGCGGGCGCGCAGGGGGCGGGGCAAGCGATCCGGGGTGGAGCCACGCGAGGCCCCGCCCCCGGCGCCCGGAAGTGACGCGGGCGGACAAAGGCCGCGCGCGCCGCCAGGTGTCGCGTCTGGCGCTGCCGGGAGGAACGGCCGGCGGGCAGGGCTCGTCGCCGCGGCCGCCCTCCCGCCCTCCCGGTCCTCGCTCCCCGGGTGCCGGGAGCTCCCGCCGTTGTGAGTAGCGCGAGGCGGAGCGGGGGGCGGCGGCCGCCGGGAGAGGGAGGCCGGGCCCCAACTGCCTCGGCGCCCGCGGCTCGCTCTGCACGTGACCGGGCGCGCGGCGGGTCCGCGGGCCGGCGCCGGGCGGCGCGGGGAGAGGACGGCGGGGTCGGCGGGGCTCGCCCTCACGCTGGCGCGGGCCCGCGGGCCCCTGTCCGAGCCTCGCTCCCCCAGCGGGTCCCCGAAGTAAGCAGGGCCCACTCCGCAGATCCCGTGACTCGCTCAGCCGGCGCCGCGCGCGGGGCTGCCCGTGGCGTGGGGGCCGGACACGGGCCGCTCTCGAGACGGCTCGTCGCCCGGAGCCCGCGGAGCCAAGGTCAGCTGTGGCCAGAGGCAGTCACACCCCGCAGCCCGGGCGTGGCCGCCGCCCCGGGGGCCTCCGGGGGCCCCGGTGTCGCTCTCGGTGCCCACCAGAAATAGCAGCAGCTGGTGCCAGACGCCCCGACGCTGGGGTGGGCAGGGTAGCAGGTGGTCCCGCCGGTCGGAGGGGACCAGCTTTAGGGCGAACGAAGGCCTCGGCTGGGCTAAGTCTGGGTCTCCTGCTTACTCTGTTCCTGGCTTGGTGTGTTTTCAGGCACACACCTTTGGTGGAGTGCTTTTTCTGTCGGCTGGGACTGGAAGGGTGGGGGGTACCTGTGAGGTGCTTTGCTGGACACCGGAAGCCATCGGTCGGCCACAGTGTGTCTCGGCAGCACGTGCGGTGATTGTGTGCTCACATGGATGGGAAGCTCACGCCCCTCCCTGCTGTTCACAGGCGGGGTGGGGCCCCTAGATTGAGTACCCAGCTTAACAGTAATAACCCCTCCCGTGTGTCCAGCACTCTACAATTTACACTTGTTCTTCACAGTTGGCAGAGTCAATGAGACTCATTTGACAGGTTTCTAAGCCTGGGGCTAATAGGCACCTGCACTGACAGACTCACTACACGCTTGTCATGTCCTCATTGGGTCATCGCAACCTGTCACTCTGCCCATTTTATAGATACATGAGCTTTCTTGACTGGTGTCCAGTGTCTGACCTGTGCCGTCACAGCCCTGGCTCATCTGATCTATCAGAGCTTTGGTTTTAAAGCATTTCCCCTATTTTGGTCTTCCTCCCTCCTCCCCTTTTCCACAGAGTACCCTGCTATTTTCCTGTGTCCAACTGCCGTCCACACAGATGCAGGGAGACAGGCCCTGCCCAGCAGGCTGCCTGAGGGAGGAGGCAGACCCTTGAACTGGCAAAAAAGAAGGATGAGCTGATGGTGAGAGTTCAGATAACTCTCTCTTCTAGGAATCCTGGGAGAGAAAAGGTAGTGGGGGCGTTGCCCAGGTGTTGCCCTAAATACCTTGGAGAGACCATGAGGGATGCACAGACATCCTGCAGGCTGAGGAGCAGAGGTTTGCCCTACTCTGCACTGGGCGAGAGTGCACAGCCAGGTGGTGTCCATGCCCTTCCCCGGCCAGGGCCAGTAGCTCCTCCCTGGGATCTGAAGCAGGGACAGGGCTGCCTGCTGCTTGGCGGACAGCTCGCTGTTCCCTGGGACTCCTCAGTACTTCCTGCCCACTCCGGTCTGGACACCGGGGAGGGCACACAGTAGAGACAGGGCCCAGGAGTCACATTTATTAATAAACCTGGTGTTGAAACAAATGTCAAAGCTGTACTTGTCATTTGCTGGCCTAGATGTGCCTCCCCTGGCTTGTTCCTAGAACCACCTGTAAGTGGAATTCTTGTAAATTAGATTATTCAGGCCTTGACTTTATAGGAATCGTGGTATGGGCATTTGGTGGAGCAAAAGCATTGTCAGTAATGGCCTCCAGTGTTACCAGTTTTGAATGGTTGGATTTTTGAGGATTTTCCTGAAAGTGGAAAAGGGCTATCACGCCACAAAGCCTGTTCCTCGACTCATTCACCAACCGGTTAGTGAACACCCCCCTCTCTCAGGTCCTGGGCTGATGGTATGCAAAGTGATGGCCCCTGGAAGTGTACATTCTGGGGTGAAAGGCTGGTAGACAGAGCCTGTGCAGCAAAGTCAGGGTTGACCCCAGATTTTTCCCTCCATCTAGACAGAAGTGAACTTTTGTTGAATGCTCTGTGTTGTGCGGGAGGCGAGAGGAAGGCAGTGAGGAGTCTCTGGACGCCATCATTCTCTCCGGGAGCTCTGGTTCTGCTACCAAGCCCCTGCTTGCTGAGCCTGAGGGGCAGGAGGCTCCAGTCTGAGCAGGAATGTCACCTGGTTGCTGTGGTGCCTGTTGGTAGGGGCCAGGCTGTCCACTTGGCCTGGGTCCTTACCCCTTTCTGAACCGACTCGTGTAGGCACCCCATGCTTACCTGGTGACAGGCCCAGGGGGAGCTGTTGTGACGTCCGCCCTTCCACAGCCAGCATTTGGGGCATGGCAGGTTTCCACCTTTTGCTTACCTTGAACTTCAAGGCTAGAGGGGAGTGCATTCTCGTAAGCAGTGGGCTACCTCTTTCCAGTACAGCTTCCAGTGCCGGGGCGCTGCGGAGGACATTGCAGTGATCGGTGTGGGTGCAGTTCTTAGAACCAGGGCCCCCCCAGCCTGGTGTGTCAGGGGCTTCTCTCCTGCAGCAGTAACTGGGACTCATCTGCAAGGTGGCAGAGAGGGGAGGCGGCCGTCTGCAAGCTGTTTTGAGACCGAGGAGGGATCTGGGCACCTTGAGGGCTGCTGCCAAAGGTGGGGACACAGTCACAGTGAAGAGCTGGAAACTGGTGGCAGGTGGGTGCTGATGGCTCTCTCCGGGTCTCTCCGAACACACCAGATGACCTTGTCTGGGAGGACCGCCCATGTCCAGAAGAGGAGCCAGTGGCCACGAGGGACGGCGAGAAGGGAGGGCCCCCTTTCTGTCTAAGCAGCCAGGCTGGGCTTTGGAGAGGCCGACCCTGACCTCATCAGGAGCCTTTTTGAGTTTGGCTGGTGTGTGGGCCTGCTGCTTCTGGAAGATTCCTTCTGAAAATAGTCATACACTGGGGGCTAGTAGCAAGTGCAGCTGGTGAAACTTCCCCAACTTCCTCATGTTTTGTCCCCCGTCTCTCCTTAGAGTGTAAACGGGCATTGCAGGCCTCTGCTTGTCCTTCACTATTCTCCCATCACTTCTCTGGATACGCTTCAGGCGTTCCCTGGTCTTAGGGGGTTCGTGTTGCTTATGGGAACTGAGTCTCTTTCGGGGGTCGGGGGCTTCCTGCAACCCTGTGGATGAGTGGTGGGGCGCAGACAGGTGCCGCTTTTCTGGAGGGCTGGGAGCTGTCACCCATCGCTGAGGGACTCGGGCTGGGTGCCAGGGACAGTGGCGAACAGGCCAGGTCCTGCCTCCCCAGCTCCCATTCCAGTGGCAGTGGGCGCCAAGTAAATTAGTGTCTGACGGAAAGCCTTGTCCTGATGGCAGCGGGGCATGCGCTCGGATCGGGTGAGGACGGCTCCGGGCAGGCTGGTGGGGAGGCCTCTCTAAGGAGGTGACCCACAGGCCCACACCTTAGGGTGAGACTGCGCCGCGTGTGGGGAGAGCTGTCAGGTAAGGGCTCAGCAGGTGCGTGGGCCTCTTGACCTTGGTGAGGCGCTTTGCTTCTGGGGCAGCGGCCCCTCCTCTCGTAGGGGCCCTGGTGGGACCAGCCAGCACCAAGTGAAAGGGGCTTATGGGTGCAAGGGACAGAGCGTGAGCTGCTACTGGTCCTGTCTTCTAGGGTGGCCCCTGACACCCCTGCTCTTTAGAAACTCCCCTAGCATGTCCTGGCCGGCCGCGCTGGCCATCCTCACTCCCATCCTGCGGCTTCTCCCTGTCCCAGAGCGGCCAGCCCGGCCGAGATCCCAGGGTGCTCGCATGTCCTGTGAGTCTGCCTCTGCCACGCCCCACACTCCCCACTCGGCCAGCGCAGTCCTGGCGTCCAGGCCGCAGCCCAACTGCCCCCTCCAGCCTCTGAGTTGCCACAGCACTTCTGACTCCGCGAGGGTCTCACGGTCTCGCCTGGCGCTTAGCTGGCTCCATCTTTCCCTCCTGCCGGGGCAGGGCCTGTAGCCCTACAGCCTCACGTCCCATGGCGCGCGCTCCTCTGGCCCTCCCGGCGTGAGCCCGCACGGACCGACGCGGTGGCCTTGGTTCTGCCGCCTGGGCCCAGGCTGTGGCTGTGGAATCCCCCTGCGCCCTTCTGGCGAGAGCCTGTCGCTGTCACTCGTACCCCTCCTGAACTTCCCTGCTTCACCTGGACGGGTGCAAGCTCGCTGCTCTGCGGGTGCAGCCTGAGCAGCGGAGTGTGGCCCCAGTACCTTGACTTGCCAGCCGCCGGCTCCAGTGGGTCCTCTCCGTGGAGCCAGCTTCCCACCTCGGGGTGCTAGGCTGGCCCCCTGGGCCGCCTTCCCTGACATCCCAGCCGAGTCAGGTCCCTCTGGGTGACTGCTCTGCCGCCACGACTCTGGGGGCTGCGGGTCGGTAGCTGTTCTGTCCGCTGTCTCCCTGGCCCTGCACGGCGCTAAGCTGCTCCTTAGCAAACGGCCGGACCCCCAGGGCGCGTTGTCTGTTCCCGCTGCCCCCACAAGATCCGCCGGGATGGCCACTGGAGGAGGCCGCTTCCTTTGCTTTCCTTCTCTTCGGTGTAGATGGGGGTTCTCTGTGCGGGGGCCAGAAGCCATCCGGTGAGTGAGGAAAGGAAGCGCAGCCGGCACTCGGGCCCCCTTCTCTGATGCGAAGGTAGCTTTGCAAGATGGCCCAGTGCAGGCAGACAGCGCCAGCCAGCGGGAGGGGCAGACCTGGGGACGCTGGGCCTTCTGCCTAGGGCAGGATGGTGTGAGCAGCGAAGCGAGGTGAGGGGGACCCCGCCGGACTGACGAGCTGCTTGTCTTGTCCAGGAGGCGCCGCTGCTGAGGCTGGTGCTGGGGCAGACCCGCGGCCGCAGACGGCATGACGAGCGAGGTGATAGAAGACGAGAAGCAATTCTACTCCAAGGCCAAGACGTACTGGAAGGAGGTCCCGCCCACGGTGGACGGCATGCTCGGGGGGTACGGCCACATCTCCGGCATCGACATCAGCAGCTCCCGGAAGTTCCTGCAGAGGTTTTTGAGGGTAGGCCGGTCTGGTGTGCTCTCCAGGAAGAGAGGCGGCGGCCCTGCCTGCCCCGCCTTTTACTGGGGCTGCTGCAGGCGCGTCGGGGTCCCTGTGTCGGCTGCGGGGCCTCGAGCGGGCGGGGTAGAGCGGCGGCAGACTCAGGACTTGGCTTCAGCTTACCAGACAGAGCTCTCGGCTGTTGGGGGCAGGGGGGTCGTCTGGGTGCCAGAATCAAGCGTCTCCCTGCAAACTGTTTGGTTGTGCCAGGGCGAAGCCTGCACTGTGCTGCCGTGGCTATGGGCGCTGGGGCCGTGGGTGTCGGCTGCTCTGCCCGGGCCGGCTTCTAGTCACGCACGCCCCCCGCCCCCCCCATGTCCCAGGCTGGCATCTCCGTGGCTGGAGCCTCGTGGGGCCCGCTGCCTCCTGTCCCTCCCATGGCCGTCCTCAAGGCCACCGCTTCCCTCTCTGCCATGCTCCTCCACCCACTTCCCATCTCGCCCTGCCTTTCGAGTCCTGGGCTCACGATTGCCCCCTCCGTTCTCTCGGCTTGAATTCTTTCATTCTCCTCCTGGGGTCTCAGGAGAGATGAATGTCCTTCACCCCGTTCTCACCTGGATACGGAGGCTGGCTTTCGTTCTAGAAACGTGCAGCCCAGAGAAAGACAGTGCAGTGCTCACACCCGTCAGTGCCCCACAAAGTGCCAGCCCCCAGCCTGTGTCTCGCTCTGAGGGCTTCTGGGATGCAGGAGGGGTGGCCCCCTGCAGTGACAGGCTTTTTCCAACCTTCCCACCTTCCTGATGGCTCTGGCTTCTGCTTCGTAGGATGGCCCCAACAAGACGGGCACTTCCTGTGCCCTGGACTGTGGCGCCGGCATCGGGAGGATCACCAAGCGGCTGCTCCTGCCCCTCTTCGGCGTGGTGGACATGGTGGACGTGACTGAGGACTTTCTGGTCAAAGCCAGGACCTACCTGGGCGAGGAGGGCAAGAGGGTGAGGAACTACTTCTGCTGCGGCCTCCAGGACTTCAGCCCGGAGCCCAGCTCCTACGACGTCATCTGGATCCAGTGGGTGATAGGTGAGTGCCCACTGCCTCCCGCACAGCCGGGGGTTGGGGCTCCTGCCACAGGCGGGCACTGGGGTATCCTCACCTGCTCCCCACGACTGGGAGACTCAGCACTGGCTGTGACCCACTGGGGTGTTTTCACCGTGTGTTTTTAACCAGTTTTGATCAGTGCTCACGTTAGGTGGGTTCCTAGATCTTCATTTACTGCCTTATTTTTAGCATTAATTACTTTTAGTGTAATTTATACCATTTGCCTACAAATACTACAAAAGGGGGGGTTAGTTTTTTGTTGAAAAATTTTAACTGACTAATAAGTTACATTTCAAGAATGCGGAAGAGTTTCTATAAGGGTTTTACCCTGAGCGGGACCGTGCAGCCTCGGCTGTCCCTGTGTTTGGGCCCCCCGTGTGCCCCCCGCGTACCCGCCATCCTGACCGCTACCTCGGCGGGGCGCGCTTCCCTCCTGGGCGGCAGCACAAATCTACTGGGGACCCGCTGGGTCTGGCCCTGTATTTTGTGGCCCCCAAAAGGCTGCCTGGAGTTTTCCTGTGGGAAGGACCTTTTGGTGCTCGCCGAGCCAGGCTGGGAGGGTGGGTGTGGGGTAGACACCCAGGGGTAAAATCCAGCCGCACCCTGGGTCTGCCCTGGGGAGGTGACCCTTGGGCCAGCAGCCTCCTATGAAACTAGGTTTGGCAGCTGTAGTGCGCCCGCGGGGCCGTGTGTTAAACACCCAGCCTCCGCCCCGAGTGACGCCCTGCCTCCCGCAGGCCACCTGACCGATCAGCACCTGGCCGAGTTCCTGCGGCGCTGCAAGCTGGGCCTGCGCCCCAATGGCATCATAGTTATCAAGGACAACATGGCCCAGGAGGGCGTGATCCTGGACGACGTGGACAGCAGCGTGTGCCGGGACCTCGAGGTGGTCCACAGGATCATCCACAACGCTGGCCTCAGCCTCCTCGCCCAGGAGCGGCAAGAGAACCTCCCTGAGGAAATCTACCACGTCTACAGCTTGGCCCTGAGATGAGGGGCTGCCAGGAGAGACCAGGAACCTGCGCGGGGTGGGGTCAGCAGTGAGATCCTGAGCCCCCACACCAGGGGTGCGGGGGTGGCAAGGTCACCGAGTAGACCGGTCTGCCGCCCGCTCTGCAGACACTTCAGGGGGCATCAGGGGACTGGGCGGGCAGGCCGCCGAGGGCTCTGGGGCCCCATGTTCTGGGGGACTCTTAAGTGGTGATTCCCACCAGCAGCAGATTCCTGGCCTCCCAGCCACAGGCCCCGCTGCCTTAAGGGGGACAGAACCCCGAACTTGCTTGTAGAGGACTGTACCTGCAGGGAGGAGCTGGGCAGAGGCCGGGGCTGCTGCCGCCTGCCGTGTAGAGCAGCTGCTGGGGAAGCTCTGTCCCGAGCTCCATCTTGTGATGGGGCCCTGGTGCCCTTAACGAGCTCGCAGCGGCAGCCTCGCGTGGGGAGAGGTCTAAAGCCTAGCTGTGGGCTGTGCCTTTTGGCTCCTCCTTGGGGGGCATTTCCAGGCAGAAATAAAAGGGGTGACTCCTGTACTGTAAAGGCCTTGCCAGTCCTGGACGGTGCTTTTCTTTACTGAGCCCAGAGTCTTGCTACTTGCCAACTTGTTTCCCCCAGAGGCCGCATCTCCTTGTGCCCACCATGAGGCGCCTTCACCCAGAACTGGGGAGGGGACGGGGAGATGACGCACAAGGACTGAGAGGAAACTCAGTTTAATTCTGTAATATAAATATCTCATCAGGCCACTCCAGCTGATCCTCGGGGACATCCACACATTCATGTGACCAGCGTCACTCGGGGCTGTGAGGGCTCACAGGGGGCCGCTTTCTCCATCGGTGCCTCACACGACCAGACTCTTGGAAAAGCCTGTCCCGTCATGCACTCATGATTGATTCCCTAGAGGGCGTGTGCCCGAAGGGCCGGGTTTGGCACAAGCAGAACCGCTGCCAGGGCACAGGTGGCTTGGCCTCAACACCCACCACCCGGGCACTTTCCTAAGGGCAGAAACTTGAGTGAAGAGAGGTCGGGGCCCTGGCTGGGTCGCACCCCCAAGGCCTGCCTGGGCCCCTGGCTGGCTTCTGCCTCGGTCCTTTTCCCAGGCAGGGCAGGCCGGTCTGTGCTCGGGAGGACCTGGGCTTGGAGAGGCCCTCCCTCTAAATGCCCAGCACCCCTCAAATTAAGAGGGTAAAAACCCTGGCCTAAATCTATGTAGTTGAGATGTGGGGGAGGGTAGGGGTGTGGAGAATATCTCCCTGGAAGACTGAACACGCCTCCTCCACTGGAATGACGCAGCTGCCAGGCTCGCCTGCCGCCTCACTAAGCACCAAGTCCTATCTCCCATCTCCAGCCAACATGCAGCAGAGGACCCAGAGGTTTCCAGATGAAAGGACTTGCCCTAAGGCAGCACCCACAGGCTGACAGCTGCCCAGACCCTGCTCCCTTCCGCCTGGGGCCTTCAGACCTCGTCTTCGACGGCGCTGCTATGCTCACTGAGGAGGTACCACTTCAGCCTGTCGGGCAGAGGCAGGGCTTTGACCTTGGTGTCCACAGGCCACGGCTGAAGGTAGAGCCGGATGTAAACGCGACACAGGTGCTTGAGGGGCGGGGGATAGCTCTCCAGCTGCCTCAGGGAGCAGTGAAGGGCCTGGATCTTTGCAGCCAGGCTGCCCACGGGATGGATGTCGAAGTTTTCTGGCAGCTGGAGCTTGTGGGAGTTGGTTACCATGAGGTCCAGGATGGTCTCAGCTTTGCGCAGCAGCTCCACATGGCTCTCGTCCTCGGCGCAGCCCGGGTGGGAACACAGCCTCTCGAAAATGATGTGGAAGCCAGACCAGCAGGACGCACCGTGGAGGGAACAATTGTAGGCAGCCCCGGACTCCAGCAGGAAGCACAGCAGAGGGAAATGCAGCTTAAAGCTCTTGAGGCAGATGTGGGTGAGGGACTCGTGGGCTGGGCATTCACTCGGGTCGGCCCCGTGGGCCAGCAGCAGCTGCGTCACTTGGAAGCAAAAGCGGTTTATCATCTGGGCCTCCTCTTGGTCCCCTCCCACAGTCTCCCCCAGCAGGAAGATGATGCACGTGAACACGGTGTCCCCGTCCTTGGTGGTAGCCTTGACGTCGGCCCCTAGAAGAGCCAGCAGGGGAAACAGAAGGTGGGAAAAGGCCCCAAACGCGCGCAGAAGTCAGTGTTTCAGGGGTGAGGGGAGCCCGCAAAAAGTTCAGCATGGTGAGAAGGGGTGAGGCCTGGGGACAGCCTGCTGCCCTGTGGGCGGGGTGGAGGTGGAGACCAGCCTCACCTCCTTCCAGTAAGAGCCGGATATTCTCGGTGTTGTGGATCTGCACCCCGTCGCTGCTGGCCAGGGCGTGGAGCAGCGCCGTCTTCCCTAGGGCGCGGACACAGGAGTGGGCAGTCAGGAAGGCGAGGGCAGCCCTCGGGGAGGGGAATGCAGAAGAGGGCCCCCAGCCAAGGGTGCTGCGTCCTGCCAGGCTACCTCTCAAGACTGAGGGAGGGCTGAGGAGTTCACAGACAAAAAGGAATCCGACACTGAGCGAGCCTTCGAGAACCACTAGAGACTCGAAGCACTAAGGCTCCACAGATGGACAGTGCGGGGGGGGGGGGGGCGGCGGGGAGACCAGGCCCGCGGCCGTGCAGAGGCATCCGCCAGCACTCCGCTCGAGTCACAAGCACACACAGGCCGCAGGAGGCCCCCAAAGTCCAGCAGAAACACTAAGAAATAGGAAAAGGGACCCAAACTTCACATGAAAGACGTCAAAGCACAAGCTGTGGAGAAAGCGGAGCCTTAGACGCTGCTGGCGGGAACGGCAACTGGCCAGCCGTTCTGGAAGCCGCACGGGCTGCCCTCAGAGCAGGACTGTCCTGCTCCCCAGCATTCAGCTCTGGGGGGGGGCCCAAAACGCAGCAGCGTGCCACAGCGGCGTGCAAATCCACGCCGCTGCGGGGGCAACCCGATGCCCACGGGTGAGTGGGTGAGGATGCGCACACATGCACACCCGGGCACATTGGGCTGCTGTTCAGCCACAGGAAAGATGAAGTGTTGCCATTTGCAGCAAAATGGAAGGAACACAAGGCAATTATTCAAAGCGAAATGAGATGAAAACACGGAGCGAGGGCCCCTGTGCACGGCATACAAAGAACCAGGTGAACTGCGGCCACTGGAGGAAGAAAGTGGCGGAGCTAGGACAGGGGAGGGAAGGGAGTGGATGGTGGTAGCTGTTATTTTGGTTTTTTAAAGAGTGAAAAAAGGCTTTTGAAAGACGGACCTCCCAGAGCTTCCCACCACACAAGGCGGAGCACGCGCTTGGCACAGCCGGGGCCCCTGCAGCCCGCCTGCCGAGCCCTGGCCCTGGGGCGCCAGGGTTTCCCTCTGGGGGAGCCAGCCCAGGACCATCCCGCTTCCCAGGCGGCACCTACCGTGCTTGTCGGCTGCGTTGACATCGGCCCCAAGCTCCAGGAGGCGCCGCAGGCAGGGCAGGCGCTCCGGCTCCTCGCTCGCCAGGTCCAAGGGGCTGCTCTCGTGGATCTGAGCCAAGAGCACAGCGGGTTGGCCTGGGCCTGGGCGGTGCTGCCCCTGCCCCCTCCCCGGCCCCCCCAGCAGCCTCCTGCCCTCACCCGGTCCCTGCGGTTGATGTCGGCCCCGTGGCGCACGAGCAGCTCCACCACGTCGGGCTGGTTCCGCAGGACGGCGATGTGCAGGGCCGTGTAGTAGGTGACCGGGTCTGGCGGCACAGACACAGTCCTGGGTGCAGGCACCTTCTCCACGAGCCCAGGATGCACCTGGCAGCCCACCCCAGCACCCGCTCCTGGGCTTCCATCCCCAGGGGGTCAGGACAGAGCTGTCCTCACCAGATACCAGGCCCTGCATCAGACCGTGTGTGAGTCCAGGGCCGTCTGGCGGGTGGGTGCTCAGAGCAGCCGTTCCAGCCACTGCGCCTGCGCCCGGCGGAACAACCAAGTGCCCGAAGCCAGGTCCTAAGTGCCTGGGGAAGGGGCCAGGCCAGCCCAGACACCCCGAGGCCCCTCTTCCCCCCAACCACTACTCTCCTCAGCACTGTGACCCTCCAGGGGCTCACTGGAGGCCATCCTGAAGTGGGGAGAGGTGTCTGGCAGACAGCACCCGTCCCGAGAGAGCCGAGAAGCACAGGCGCATCACCGCCGCCCCCATGTGCAGAAGCTGTCACGGTCCAGCCACAGATAAGCCCATAAGAAGGGCTTATCTGTGCTCCCCTCTCCCCGTGGCAGGAACGAAAATTCCGGATGACTCAGTAAGTGGCAGAAAGTGACTGTCCCTGGGCTCAGGACACAGCCAGCGGCTGCCCCTCCACACGAGCGGGCGGGGGCCGGGCAGTCTGCTAGACCAGTCATGGGGCGGAAAGCCAACAAAGCGGGTCTGGGGACAGAAGCATCAGAGCCTCCCGGAGCCCACGGAGGCTGTGGGTCCCAGCACCCAGTACCCAGCACCCAGGAAGAACAGAGGGAAACGGCTCCTGAGAACGGGAACAGCAGGATTCGAAGGCGCGGCTGCCCTCCCCGCCGGGGTCTCACCGGCGGCCGCGCAGCCCACCCGGGGCCCCCGCTGACCTTCAAAGTTGAGGTTGGCCCCATTCCTCAGCAGCACGTCGGCCGCCTGGGTCAGCCCCAGCTCGGCCATCTTCAGCAGGGCGTTGCTCACCCCTTCCTGGTAAAACGGAGAGTGCGCCTTTCTCTCGAGCAGCTCGGTGAGCACCAGGAGCCGGCTCTCCTCGCTGGCCCCGTAGCTGGGCCTGGAGCAGGAGACAGACCCGTTGAGGGTTGGCCAGCCCGCAGCCTGCGAGAGGTGGGGGCCTCGAGTCTCCTGCAGTCTCCCCCGCCCCCCCAGGCGGAAGGTCTGTGGTCTTTTAACCCGCGCAGACGGGTTTGCCGAGAAAGGCCGGGCCGTCTCTCCTCTCCTCCCAGGCTGCCCCGAGAATCCCGTCCCGGGCTTGGGGACAAAGCCTCACGCACCCGGGACTGAAGGGAACCCGTAAGGCCACCGATCCCCAAGACCCACACCTTTCCCAGACCTTGTCCCCCAGTTGCAGAGGATGCCAGGCCAGCCCAGACACCCCGAGGCCCCTCTTCCCCCCCAACCACTACTCTCCAAGGCTGAGTGTGCCCTGGGCCCTTCACACCCCAGCCGCAGCACCTGCCTCCCCTGCGGCACCGGTGACCAGGCCTTCCCCCCAAGCCTGGGCCCCCGACTTTGCTTGCAGTTCCTTCCCAGGCTACCAGCTCCTCCTCTTGGTAAGGTGCCCAGCCCCACTGGTGCTTCCTGCGCCCCTTCCCACTTTAGTCTCGCCCATCTGCACCCCTTCAGCTGGCGGGACAGAGGGTCCATTCCTACTGCCTGCTGGCGGGTGTCCGTCTCGGCCCCCAGCCCCGGGGCGCGGTCCCTGCACCAGGGGTGCGAAGCCAGCACCTTCTGCGGCGACCCTGGGGCCACCTGCCCAGCCCTCTCCCCGGGACGCCTCAGAGCTGGGGGCGCGCTGTCACTGCCCTGGAGGACCAGCCCCAGCTTCCAGCCTCCACCCGCGTCCCTGGGGGGCGCCTCACCCCCCGGCTTGAGCTTCCAGCTCACCTTCCCCACCCGCACCTGCGGCGCCGGCCCCCCGGCCCCCCGCGCCCCGCCTCCGGCCGGCCCCCCGAGGTCGGCCCCGCCCCGCCCCGCCCCGCTCCCCCGCGAGGGGCGACCCCGGGGCCGACGGCTCGTTCTCGCGTCCCTCCGGGGCAGAAAAGGAGGGTCGCCGACGTCCCCCTGCTCCCCGCAACCCTGGCGGCGGCCCGGGGGTCCCGGGGCCAGACCCGCCCCCAGGGGCGCGCGCCCCGGCCTCCGCCCGCCTGGGCCCGACGGGGCGCGTTACCCGTCCGCGGGCCCGCGGCGCTCGGGGTCCTGCACGCCCAGCGCGCCCAGGATGGCGTCCACCAGCGGCTGGTACTCGAAGATGATCCTGCGGAAGCCGTGCAGGAAGGGCATGGCGGCGGCGGCCGCGCGGGCGGGGCGGGGCGGGGGGCGCCCGCAGCCTCCGCGCCGACTCCGCGCCGACTCGCGCGCCGGCCTCGCCGGAAGTGCGCCCCGGCCCTCGTCCGCGCCGCGCGGGGCGGCAGCGCCCCCTCCCGGCCGGAGGACCGCGCGCCCCGGGCCGCCCGCGCGCAAGTGCCCGTGGGGGGCCCCGGGAGGCGCCGGCCCGGGGGGCCGGGGGGCCGGGGGGCTGCGCCCGCGGCGGGCCGCCTCTCCCGCCCGGGCTGGCTCCGCCCTGCGATGCCTGCCGCGGCCGCCGGGCGCCGCCCCCGCGCCACGGGGCCCGCCGAGGCCGGACCGGTGGCCCCCGAGGCCCCCTGGCCCGGGTCGGAGCTCCAGGCACCCCGACTCCCGCCTTCCCCCTCCCACCCCCGTGGGCGCCGGACATTCCCTCGGCGCTGCTCCCGGGGCTCCTGCGCTTACCTGCCGCGCCGCGGACTCAATGAAGTTTATGTTTCCATCTGTGAAATGGGGGTGAGCGCGCCCGCCCGAGACCCCGGCACGACAGCGCCGTGAATGCCGCCGGGAGTCGAGGGAGGATCCCACACCTGAGGCCGAGACCACTTTCCTGGAGTCTGGACGCGTCCCCTCAGTCGCCCGCGAGCCCCTGCCATCCAGCGGCAGCCGCCCTGACCCTGGAGAGTCGCCCAGGAGGACGTGCGCAGGTCCCCGCCGTGCTGGCAAACTGGGGACCTTTGGCTCCAGGCCCCTGGCAGAGAGAAGCAAGAACCGCTGAGGGAGGAGCAAACATTCGGGAGAAAACATTTTGGTTTAAAGACGACCCCATGTGTGCCCTGTGATCAAGCACAGAGAGCAAGGTTCCCCCACCAAGAGCAAAACAGACTTCCAGGGGAACCCCACCCCACAGGGCCCAGGTCCAGCTAGGGGGCCAGGCCCGTGGAGCCTGCAGCAGGGCCTCATCATTGCTCACTGTTGCTAAGTTGGCCAGGTTGTAGCAAATGACAAGCTAGCAAATCCCCCATCCCCCCACCCCTGCCACCAACACTAGGAAGTTTTTAGGGTTCACCCCTCAATTGATCCCAAGTAATGCACTCGCCGGGGGCTTCTCAGCCTTTGCTCATTTGATCAAGGATAGCTGACTGCAGCGCAGAGGAGAGGAGCCGGACATCTGGAGGGCCTGCCTGCCCAGAGGCAAGCGGTCAGTCCCTGGGGAGACCTGAATGGAGGCCCATCTAGGTGGGCCACAGGGCGGACCGGTGGGTGGCAACCTGTTCTGAGATCTCCTTCTGCCTGTTTCCTAAGGCCCAGGTAACAAAGCGTTGCACACAGGGGGCTTAAAGCAACAGAAGTGGCTCGCCAGAGTCTGGAGGCCAGTGTCTGGAGGCCAGTGTCTGGAGGCCAGTGTTGCAGGCCATGCTCCCTGCAGAGACCCCAGGTACCTTTCTTGTGGCTTCCAGCTCCTGGCGGCCACAGGCAGCCCTTGACTGTGACAGCACCCTGCCAGCCTCTGTCCCCTCTGCCCTCTTCCCTCACGGCCTCTCTGCACACCCCTGCATGCCTTAGGGACGCCCTAGTCCAGTATGACCTCATCTCACCTTGATTATATTCACAAAATCCCCCTTTCCAAATAAGGCCACAGTCCCAGGTACACGGGGACTCAGCATATCTCTTTGGGGGACACGGTTCATGGATCCCAGCTGGGACTTCTGTCTCGGGGTCTCAGTCTCGTCACCTGTCACCTGAAGGCCATTCCGACTCGAACGGAGCCAATATGAATAAAGTGCTCGGCCAACGAGAAAATGATGAAAGTCTCGTGACCGGAAGTAACAACTGCTAACTTTAATTTCCTGAGCCCTTCTGATGTACCAGCCTGGCATTCAATGCTTTGCATACTGATCTCATAAATCCTATTAAGAAGGGGATAGTATGACACCCTTTTTTAAACAAGGAAAATGAGATTCAGAGAGGTTGGGTGCTTGCCTAATGTTGCACAGCTAGGTTGGGGGACTCTTCCGTACAAGCCCGGGGGCTGAGTACCCTGCAGAGCCTCTGGCTCTGGGCCCAAGAGGGTATAGACATGACCCCTGCTCTCCCCAAGCCCTTGGAAACCTCAGTGTGGAGCCAGGCCCTGCCGCCTGTCGGTCGCCCAGGCTCCTATCTTTAGAAAGTTCCATGCTCTCTGACCTCTCTGCTGTCAGCAAGGGCAACCTTGTTTCCTCCATCTGCCTCCCATTAAGGCTGTCACTCAGAGCCTGATTGCAGCTCTGTACCTTTTCTTTTTTTTGGCCATTGCTCCTCACTCTCCTGCCACGCAATCCCCCAGGTTCCATACCTGTCTGAGTACCCAGTGCTCAGATCCTGGCAAGCTGGCACTACCTTTTTCTCCTCAGGGAGTTTGGGAGTCACTCTGACCTATCCAATGAATGAAAAGGGAGCCTTCATACATAAAGAACTGTTAAAAATCAACAAAACAAAAACACTGGCAGAAAAGTGGTCAAAGGACATGCACAGGTGAGTCACAAAGGATAAAAAACTATCACAGATGGAGAGAATCTGTCTAACATCAACAGTGATAATATCTGACATATCGGACTTACCGCCCACTAGATTCTTCCCTGTAGCCATACAACAAAGCAAGTCATAGAATAGTGTGTATCCCACAATCCCATTTAGGAAAATGTGTGCGTGTGCACCTGTGTGCACGGGCAGGGACAGTTCTTGAAGGACCCATGCTGAGGTGCGGGTAGTTGTTTCTGGATGCTGAGATATGAGCAACTTTCACCTTCTTTCTGCTTCTTTTCTGCCTTTTCACCGAAAGAGTGTCTTAGAATACTAAACAGGCCAGAGACTGGAGATTAGGCCTTGCACAGTCTTCCCAGACCTAGAATAGAAGGTGAGGCCAGAGCAGGGCCTGGCCTGTCTGTAAGCCTCTTCTCCTTACTCCAATCAGTGACATACTTCCCAGGACACAGGTCACATCCCCAGGACCCTGATCCCTCCCCGGGGTCTGGGCTGGTCCTGGAGCAGCTCACCCCTTCCCCATCTCGGCCACCGGCCTTGAGTGACCAGTGGGTAATAAGAGCAGCTGTTGGCTGAGTGTGTCCTGTGCCCCGTGAGCTAGATTAGAAGGTCAACACACATCACCTCATTGACTCGCTGTACACCCAGGAAGGAGGTGCCTGCAGGGAGAGGCACAGAGAGAAGCTGACTGACTCGAGGGCAGCAAGCACTCAGGGACCCAGCAGGCTGCAAACCCAGAGTCCAGCTCGCGGCCTCCCGCCTGCCCAGCCACTGATGCCCCAGCCCCCCTTACACTCACACAGGCATGCACACACATACATGCGCGTGCCCAGGGTGGGGAGCTAGGGAGGGTGTCGTCCCTGGCTTCACCCCCACCCCCTGGGCCTAGGGGCCTGTGGGCAGCCAGATCTGCCCCTTATAAGGTCCTTGAGGGGGAAAATGGGGCAAAACCCCCCCTTTTATTTCTCTCTCTTTTTTTGGTTTGGCAAGCTTTCCATAAAGTGAGGTTTTTTTTTTCAGGCCTAGCCTCTGCCACGAGGAATATTGCTTTCTCTCCTTGTGGGGCGCCCCCAGCCTCGCCCTGGCGGGCCCTGGGGCACACACAGCCGTGGAGACTGGGCATATTTCTCCAGTGTGGTCATGGAGCCACCGCCCAGTCCCTCTTCCTGCCTGTCCCTCCCCCACACCCTGACCCCACCCTGACCCTCTTGACCCTCGGTGTCCCTGGCAGGGAGGCCCTGCCTGCTCGGCCCCGTTCTCGTGCTGGAAGGTGGTCCCCGTGCCCCACCGTTGGGGGTCCAGCCTGTGGGCCCAGGGGGCTCCTGAGGATAGAGTGGGGTGGGGGGCGGTAGGACCTTGACTGGATGAGGAAAGGCTCCTGTCCCGTCCTTGTTCCACTTTCTCTCCCGAGAAATACCCCCAAGCATTTCCAAGGCCCCAGAGCCTACAGCAGGCAGGCCCCAGGGGCACCTGTGCTCCCCTTGACCTGCCCAGTTCCCCCAACTTCTCTCCTCCAGGAAACTGTCCCTGCTGTCCAGAACCCCATGCTCCCAGGCATCCCTCTCCCTCCCGCTCCACTCTGCACCCAGGCGCTGGGCGGCCCCATGCTCGGCCAGAACGTGGGGACTGTGAGAGCCGGTTCTGGGTTGGGCCCGCCCTGGTGCAGTCCCCAGCCTTGGAGGAGTCCCCGAGAGACCACCCTTTCTCTGCCAGCCCCGGTGCCCATCTGACCCAGCCTTTTTCGGGGAGGAGAGCAGGGCCCCAGCAGCCCAGCAACAGGGGGGAAGGCACCCAGAGGCTGTCTCGGCCAGCTCAGAAGCCGCAGTCAAGTAGGGCAGGCAGGTATGTCTCCTGGTTCTGGGGCCCAGAAATTCAAGAGCAAGATGCCAGCCAGGTAGGTTCATTCTGAGGCCTCTTCCCCAGCTAGTAGGGCCCCCTCTGCCAGCCCCCAGGGTGCACGCGTGGAGCACGTTGGCTCGGCTGCTCTAAGGGCAATAATCCCATCTGGGGCTCCACCCTCGTGAGCTCAGCTAACTCCCCAAAGATCCGCCTTCTAATAAATCACATCAGAGGCTGGGGCTTCACATGCCAACTTGGGGGGGACACATTCAGTCCACACAGACTCCCTTAGCCCCTCACCTCAAGACGAGGGCGGCTGGGGCCCTGGGCCCTGTCTGCACAATATCGTGATAGCACAGAGGCTCACCTCAGTTCCTTCCCACTCCAGATACGGCCCGGCTGAGAGCCTCACAGGCAGGCGTTCTGCCCATGCCCGTTGCTTCCAGGTGTGTGGGGGGGGGCTGTCCCTGCAGAGGCCCCCCCTACCCCCCCACCCCCCCACCCCCCCACCCCTCCCGGGCAAGCCTGCCCCACTAAGGGCCCTGACACGCAGCCTGTGTAATCTTGGCCTAGGCCTTGCCCTCTCTGAGCCTTGGTGCCTCCTGGCTGCCACATGAGGGCGCCCAGGAGGCCTGCACCACCTCTGACTGGTCAGTG